ACTTAGAGTATGTAGTGTCTACTGTAATTTTTGTAGAATTAATGGGGCAGTTTTCATATAGGTTTACTATTTCCCCTAATTAATTAAATAAATTAATAAAGGTATTAAAAGAAATGTTTTGGTAATGGACATCCTACTTTCTGGTGTTCTTAGGATATGTGTGATAAGATAGTAAAGTTGGTTTTGTCTAATTATATGTTTACATCATAAGTTGCTAATTATTTGTTGGCATTATGTCCCTCTCTGACAGATCTGGGGACTTTAGAAAGTTCCCCATGAGATTTTGGTTTTCTATGAATATGATGAATACAAGAGTTGTAGATAATTTATGTATCTAGCTCCTGTCAAAATTTGAGGGCATTTGGCCCAGTAGTTTAGAAACTACAGCTGTTTAAAGTTAGGTTCCTGTTTTGCTTATTCTCTGTCTTGTAGGACAGTGTTCTGTTGATTTAGGAATTCGAGCTGGTAAAGTGTCGAATCATGCTTTGAGGTCTAAAAATGAATTATAGACAATTTCATAAGCTTTCCAGATTGTCTTGTTTCATATCATTTGGAATTATACATCTCCAGTTATGGCTAGTTTAATGTACCGATATATAGTCTTCATTTGCTGAAATACAAATGCTTGATTGAATGTGTTGCAACGTAATCGTTGATTGTTTGGGGGTTAGCCTAACTTGAGAATATGCTTAGGTGCAGGTGCTAGGTCATTAACTGAAGATGAGCAATTATACATTAGGTTGTATAGACTTGGTAAGTAAAGTGTATTGAATAAAGCTTAACTTGGAATATGCGAACTGCAGTGAGCATGTGCATTCCCCGAGCATCCCTGACATTCGTACATGTGCATCCATGATACTTATCTTGCGCATTCATGCAATAGGTGTGCCGGAGGGAGTGACGTTGCTGGAGTTCGAGGAGCCAACCAGAGGAGGAGCCCGAGGTGCGTGGAAGTCGAAGAAGCGTACCGTCACCGCCGAGAGTTGCCCGAGTGCCACGATCACCACCCTTCCTCTTTCACGAAAAGGCAAGCCCCGAGCATTATAAGTCTCCCATGTCTTTACAAATATATTGAGTATCTTTATTGTTGATGATGCATTAAGTATAGGAATTGGTTGGAACCAATTGCTGCATTATATATCCTCCTCTGTCCGTGATATCGACCGAATCCTATTTAAGTTCGTGAACGGGTTAAATGCTTAGCCATGCTTAGTGCGGTAGAAGTCGGTGATTTCTGTCACTGCGAGATTTAGGATGAGGTGGATCACGGTTGGCTATATTTGCTATCGTGGAAAAGAACCATGTGAATAATGAATTAAGACCGGGCGAGTCTTGTGTAGGTTTGAACATAGTGACTCCGTCAGTGTCGCTTTTAAGGACCGATACTGTTGACGTCCTCATGTCATGTTGAACGCAGCCTAACACTTAGCTGGCGGGATAAGTCGTTCCGACCGCGGCCGAGTAGCTCAACTCAGTAGGGAACCGTGGGGGTTGGATGCATTCGGAGGTAGTAAGGATGTGCGGAGAGCCATTGGCATAAGTCCAAGGGGAGTCGGGGTTTAAGATCCCGCACTTCCCGGCAGAGTGGTTCTCTGAGAATGCGAGGCGGCCCGGACCCGCGTCTTTTCTTTTTACTTTTCTCCCGAGAGTTGTACCAAAGGTGACTTGTTTGCGACCTCGACGGGGGAAGCGGGGTTTGTGTTAGGAATACCCTCCACCGGATAGGAATCGATTCAATCGCCGCCTCTCCCGGATAGTGAGAACTTAACTTGAGCAAATGGCAACGTAGATTCAATTAATTTAACGATATGGTTAAATGGATAATGATGATGATGATGATAATGTTGCGAGAATTATACCTGCTATGGTTATTAATGTTTGCATATTAATCAAGTGGTTGATTAGTACGGTGCTAATATAGATGACAGTTAATGGCTTAAAGTCACTTTGCTAGTTCAGATAAAAGTTAATCATTATTACATATGCTTTTCTCGCAAAAGAAAGTGTCACCAGATCCACTAAATAAAGCTATGCATGATCCTTGGTGTCCTTTATTTTGGTTTCCGTCGGGTAAGTCTAGTGAGTACATTCCCGTTACTCGGGGTTTATTCCCTCTTGTTGCGATGACCTTCTCTATCGTGGATTCTCGTAAGTATTGTCTCCACCCTGGCGGGTGACGAAGACTAGATCACGGGCATGATCTCTTGTTATCTTATCTGAATGCTTTTGTGGGATGTGATCAACAAAATGGTACTGGTATTGAACTTCGTGTGTGAGTTAAACTATTTGCTTCCGCTATGTTACAAGACTTGTTTTGTAATAACGATGACTCTGTGTCGATGTAATCTATTTGCGAACGTCTGCGAAATGTTGTAACGTACGATATGTTATGTTGAATTACTGTGATCTTGGTTGTATGCAAGTTGGTTTGAAATCCGTCGTGATTTCAGTTGACTACCGGGTTTATATGGGCGCAAGTTCGAGAATTTGATCGTTTCGGCGATTGTTTTCGTACTTGTACTCTTATAAATTGGTCGGTTCTGTGATAGCCCTCGGGCTATATAAGGCGGGCAGGGACCCCATCCAAACACACACGATATCATATGATAGCTAATACAATCCAACAGACCACAGGAGTAGGGTATTACGTCGTGCTGACGGTCCGAACCTGTCTAACTCTTGTGTCTCTGTTGCCTTCTTGTTCTCGATTACACGCACCTCTGCCGATCAATCTACCTTCGTGGGATACCTCTCGGAGGACTGCCGAGCATCTTTTATCGACAGTTCCTGTGTCTACTTGTTCTTCAGAATCTTGTTTTAGCTTGTCAGGCAGGATCATTGAAGAACGACGCCAACGCTTGTTACCTAAAACTGTTGAGATGCTGACCTGCTTGAAGGACAGGGAGTTACGAGAAAAGAGGAAACAACATGCAGCTGCTGACAACAAAGAGCTTGAAGAATCACTCAAGAATTTGTATCTTGATGAAGATGAAGGTGGTGCTGCTGCTGGTGATTGAGAGTGAGACTGAGGTTGAGACTAGAGTGGACTTGTGCTTTTGTGTGAGTTGAGAGTGGACTTGTCACTTGCTCACTTGTGTACCATTTGTATTTGAGCAATGGTTTGTAATAACTTAATACAATTTATGAGCTAGATGTATTCTTTTTTCCCTTCTAGACTAGAATTTCTCACAAGGGTGAGTTTTATCTAAAAAGATTTTTAATGAGGCAGCATTGCACAAACAGCTCATTTTGTTGTCTAAGTCATTATGTGATCTGTTCTTTCTACTTAGTTGATGAATGAAAATATGAAACTGTGAGTTGATACTTGATAAGTTATTCTGTGAATGTTGATTGAAATTTGAAACTATAGCTGAACTGTTAAAGTATTTGATGAGATGTATTTTCTGAGTTGTTTCATGTGAACCAGGCTGTGGGCTGGCACGGCCCGTTAATTTTGCCGTGCTTGACGGACTGAAACAACACGAAAAAATGCCCATAATATTGTGCCTGGGTCGAAGTACAGACCCACATGCATGATAGGCACGGCCCGCAGGGTACAGCGTGCCTTCGACACGACTCCATCGGGCGTGCCGGCCCGTTGCCCATATATATATATATATATATATATATATATATATATATATATATATATATAGAAGGCCATGCATGTGAAACGAGCATCAGCTGTGGAATCGTCCATGGAACTATAAAATTACCGTGGTCAAAGTATCCGCACGACTTTAGTTAGCAGCGACTAACAGTGACCAGGTGCCGACATAAACGCTACGGCATGGCGCACAAAACGCGATCAGTGGGACTTTGAGGTAGCCTATTCGTTCGTTGGTTTCAACCGTAACTTATCAAGTATGGTATAATGTTTTTCTCTCATAACAAACCAAATAATCAACCCAGAACTTTATCGGCTAGAAACCAACCAAAGCAAAAAAAGCTCTGAAACCAACCAAATGAGCAGTGAGACCCTGTCAGCAGCAATCATGACTCGCAGCGTAATCTTGGCAACGCACCTAGTTAACCTAGTTAAATAATTAACCTGCCAATTAGGCATTACGTCCGACTCGGTCAGTTAAATAACACGTGAACGTCACAGAGTACACGTTAACTGATCACATCAGGGTGAGCCGCGAAGGTCAAGCGGGTAAAAATGAAAAAAATCGAAGCACAGTGCAGCAAGGTGTCAACTGTCAACGCCGACCTCGACACTTGGAGCACGCAGAGAAGGACAGGAAGTAGAACAATGCCTACTCAAGTGACGGCTTCCTTGTCACGATTGGGCGGTCCAACTACTTGACTACTGAGGAGAGGAACCTCAGCGTGGAGGTCTGGAGGATAGCAGCCGTGTGAAGTGACACTTGGATCATTGGATGCCTGCTGCCTCCACATCTCCTGCTCTTAAATTTTCCAACCACCTGCCGTCAGAATCACCCAAGTTCAAAGCTGAAAAGCAAACAGATCATTATCCGTCGCCTGAAAATATCCACACATACCCCATTTGCTCTACTTTTAACACGACTATTTGGAACAAATGCGTCCCGAAAAATCAAAATTCCCAAGAATCCTTTAGCATTTGCCAAGAGGAATGAAGGGAAACAGGAAAAGAGGTTTGAACACATGGCGGCGTGCGCTCCGAAAGTTGAAGCGCCGTAGAAATGTTCAACGCCGCGGGCCACCAGCCGTCCATTAGGCACAGAAGCACGGGGGGAAAAGCGAAAAAGCTTCAAGAACACGCGCGCGCGCGGGAATTACGTCCCGTCCACTCCATCCGATCCTGATCATCGCCGCCTTCCTCCTGCGTTCCGGCCCGGCGTGCCGCGTGCGCGCTCCTCCACCACTCCACCTGCCGCGATCCGCCACCTAACCAACAAAAACCGCCTTCAACTCCAAGCTCCCGCAGACGGCTCCAAAGCCGAACCCGCCGCGCTTGTCTGCACGCCACTCGACCGCCTCCGGATCCCGATCCTCCTCCCGCGACACCGACAGCGATGGAAGTGAAGCCGCACACGGCACGGGTCCTGGTGGGCCGCCTGCGCGGCGCCGTCGCCACGCTCGACGGGGCCGCGGCCGCGGCGGCGGTGTCCGAGATCCGCCTCGCCTCCAAGGAAGACCCCGAGATCCGGGCGCCGCTGGCGGACGCGGGCGCGGTGCCCTCCTCGCCTCGCAGCTCCACCACGCGTCCTCCGCGGCCGTGGACGCGGCGGCCGCGCTCCTCAACATCTCCATCTCGGCGCGGGACCAGGTGGCGACGGCTCCCGGCGTGCTGGACGCGCTGACGTCGGCGCTGCGATCCGGCCACGCCGCGCACCACGCGGCGGCCGTGGTCTACAGCCTCCTCTGCGGCGGGGAGTCCCACCGCGCGGCGGTGTGCGCGCGGCGGCCGCTGCTATCGGCGCTGGTGGCGCTCCTCCGCGCGTCGCCCAAGCCTAGCACGCGCGCCACCAAGGACGCGCTCAAGGCGCTGTTCGGCGTGGCGCTGTACGCGCCCAGCCGCGCCACGCTGGTCTCCCTCGGCGCCGTGCAGGCGCTCTTCGCGCTGGTGATGACGGACGAGCGGAACGGCATCGTGGAGGACGCCACCGCCGTGGTCGCGCAGGTGGCCGGGTGCGCCGAGAGCCTCGAGGCGTTCCGGTGGGTGTCCGGGGTGCGGATCCTCCTCGACCTCCTCGAGCCAGGCGGCGCCGCCACGCCCAGGGTAAGGGAGAACGCCGCCGCCGCGCTGCTTAACCTCGTCGTCGCCGGCGGCGAGGCGGCCGCGGCTGAGGTGCTCGCCGTCGGCGGCGCTGAGGAGACCGTGCGCGAGCTCGCCGAGGACAGCGCCGCTAGCCCCCGCGGTAAGGCCAAGGCAGAGGCGCTGCTGCGCGCGCTCGAGGGCGCCGGTCCCGCCGCCAGGAGGCGCGAGCACCGGCTCTCCGATTTCCTCGACGGCCTCGTGCAGTCCGATCCCTACATCTCGTCGCCGGCGTCGGCGTCCACGCACGGCTAGTCAAAGGCTGACGTTTCTGGTTTGAGTTCGATTTGATGACCGTGCACTTCATCTTCTAGTCCTTTGTACAAAAAAATAGTAGCATCGTTCGTAGTGTAGCTTGGCTAAAAAAAATACACAGTCTAATGCATTTGTTGATCGATGTGAATACTGCATGTCGTCAAGTTTGTGCGAGATTTGTTCAAACTCTGCCTGCATTCAAACCTTCAAATTAAACCAACCGAATCATAACATTTTTGGATCTCAGTATCTCACCATGGCCATTAGCATCTCCGTTCTCTGCCCCTCTCTCTCTTTTTCGGTCTCTTCATGCAAATCCCAAGCTCGTTTTTTTTATATATATAAAAAAAGAGAGAGACAGAATGTATGGTCGCATTCAAATTGTAAACTACTCTCTGTTTTAGCCTTATTTAGGTTGAATAGCACCAATAATTGCAGGTGCTTCATTTTTATCGATTTGGAAATCAGATCACTATACGAGGAAGGATCCTACGGCCTTGTTTAGTTTAGTTGGCGATTTTTTTTTGAGCAATCTCGTCAGCTCCCACTCCCATGCAGTGTACCTGACCGGTCAGTCTGTCACCCCTGTGGACTGTGGCTGTGGAATTGTCACCTGCGGTGGCATCGGCGTCGGCAGACGCTATGCTGGACTGGGCCGGGATCACACCATCACAGGCATCTTCCCAAATAGGACCCATTTTAATCTCACCTCATCATGGGCCAGACACTCGAGATAAAGAGGCGGTCACGTATTTTTTTTTCGGTGATATTGAAAGGATTAGCTCTATTGCTTTAATATCACAGATTCACTTCTCCTTGTTCTCTCTTCTCTCAAGTTATTATCTCTATTGAACGATAGCAAACTACTCTATTTCGGTCTCTTCATGCAAATCACAAGCTTAGAACGATAGCTCTATTGCTAGCTTATTTCTTTACGTTCATATTGCTTTGTTGCTTGTAGCCATGCTTATTATTTACACTTAAAGCATATAAGATCTAAATAAATAAACCCCAATAGAGCACCAACAGATAGATAGTATTTTTAGAAGGAAATCACACTAGTTTCTTAATTTTTTATTTAAACTAAATTACTTACGAAATTTAGAGATTAAGCCAGTGTTTTTATTATTTTTAGAAAAGAGCTACCTTTGAAACCAGCGAGAGGACTATTGAAAGCCAGACCTCGCCGTGCAAGTTGATGTTGGAAGAATATATATAGAGCGACACCAAACCACAAGAATTTTGCATAATTATACAATTAATTGAAGAGCATGTCGAATGGTTTCCCGCTTACTACAAATCGTAGAGATTGGCTAGCTCATGCCCTACCTAGTTGCACCGTACTGAACAAATATGTACGACTATACCACTTGTATTAATCTAGGACTACCACTTGTTGGAGGTTCATTGCATCCAGGCGGCCGCAACCTACGGGACAGGTGGCCGCAACTCTGCATCTTTGGCTGTCATTTTCAATTCTTAGGGTGATGAAATGACGAGATCGGCCGGATGCCAAAACACCTTTAGTAGCTTATTGCTCCCTCGGTTACAGAAATTTGACTAAATATATATTAAAAAATATTAATATCTATGATATATAATTAATATCATTGAAAAGATATTTAAATCTAGTTTTTAATGATTTATTTAAAGATATAAATGTTATATATTTTTTTTATAAATTAAATTAAACTTGCAGCACGTGCACCAACTACGATAGTTTTTAGGGACGGAGCGAGTACTTAATCGACACAAACAACGAAGTCCGTCTCGGCGAAAGGCAGCCAGCAGACAACCGTTTCATCTGTCATCTCCAACCCGACTACTGCATCATACAGTACTGCGCAATTTACTACCCCAGCAACTTTGCTGTCGTCAGAAAGGAGCCGCATGCTTAGCAGAGACTTGGTGTCGTTGATGGCACAACAAAGGAGGCCTACTACTTGCAGCTTTGCTCTTTCTCAAAACCCAAATGCTCAGCTCTTGCTACAATTATTGATAGTTTAATTTAATATATATAAAATGGGTTACCACTTGAAGTACGGAGTAGCTAGCTGGCTGTATATCTAACCATGGACCATGGTTCAATGCATCCGGCTGCTCACACGACCATCGCGGCTTCGTACAGCAAGTTGCCCTGGAATGTTCTCTCGAAAGCAATGCAGCTTGTTAAGCTAGTGATCCACGGGCAAATCGAAGATTACGTACCTGATCAGGTGAAGTGAATCTCTCTTTGTTTGAAGTTACACTCAAAAGAGAGGCAGGTCAAAGTGAATCTGCCCCGGCCCGTGCATATATCCACATTTATATATTTCTTTTTTTTTATCTAGGAAGCTTTTATTGATATGAAAACCAATAACGTCGAACACAATTAGCTGATTGTGGCTTATTATTGCAGAGAGAATGGCTTAAGCAACCACATAAACATAGTGTTAGTTGCCCTACTATATTTGGTTTAAGTTTCCTCGTTCATATCGAATATCGTTGAAACTTCTTTGTAGCGTTCTTTACCGAGCATCGTACCAGGGGCCAGTTTGGTTGCCGATTTTTTTTTTGGCAAAATGACACCGTAGTGTTTTCGTTGTTATTTGATAATTAGTGTCCAATCATAGTCTAATTAGGCTTAAAAGATTCGTCTCGTGGATTTCGTCTAAACTGTGTAATTAGTTTTATTTTTTATTTATATTTAATGCTTCATGCATGCGTCTAAGATTCGATGTAACGAAAAATCTTAAAAAATTTGACATTTTGAGAGGCTAAACAGGGCCCAAGTTGCACGAGGAAGTACCTACTATCCAGAAACATCGTACCAAGTTGCACGAGGAAGTTAGCAGAGTTTTCACAGCTAGCTAGGTGCACTGAACATCATTCCAAGCACTGAAGCACCTACTCTCTCTCAATTTATAGAAAAAAAGTATAACATTTATATCTTCAAATAAATTTATTAAAAAACTAGATTTACACATCTATTATTGATATTATTTATGTACCATAAATATTAATATTTAATATATATTTAGTTAAAGTTATTTTTCAAGAAATAAAAATGACAAATATTTATGGGCGGATGGAGTAATAATCACGCAGGCAGGATGTGATGCTTTGGGCTGGCCGCATGGGAATACCATGTTTACAAGCTCACTGAAAGCTGACCTGCTGCATTGGCACCCACGTGAACCGGTTGCGGATGCATATGCCCATCAATTGACGCCATGAACATATATAAGACGGTGGCGGTGGATAGCACCGGCCTCTTCCTCCTCCTGGTCTCCTCTAATCTAATCTCTCAGTCTCAGCCTCTCAGGACATGCACAGTACACATCATGCTCGATCTTGCAGCTTCTTCTTCTTCTACTAGCAGCTAGCCGGTGGCCAACGATGGAAGGAAGCATGGTGATGCTGCTCCTCGCGACGGCGGCCGTGGTGCTTCTGCTGCTCCCGCTGCTGCTCCCTTCTTCCCTGCCGCCACCGCCACCGCCGTCACTGCTGCTGGTCGTCCCTGTCGTGCTGCTGCTCTCGCTGCTTTACCTCGCTTTCCTTCCCACCCGCGACGACGACGATGCTATCTACGAATCACTCCAGATCCATGAAGTGATGGATAGCCATGGGCACATATGATGCGTGGTTTAACTCGATCGGCAGCTGCAGCAGGCATCGAGGATTGATCTGCGCTGCCTCTCTACGCCGGGCAAAAGCCAGCTTTTGGCTACAATGAGGACGCGGATCGGAAGAGATTGATGCGGCTATATAGATAGTGTACGTCCTGGCTGTAATTCTAGTAGGGTATCTTGGTTTCTCTTCTCTGATCTTCTATGAGTTCTAGAGGTTGTAGAGCGAAATTTAATGTGCATATATATGGATCAAACTAGGCAGGGTTTTTAGGTGAGTTTGAAGTGGCCACTGGCTAGCACTGCGAATGAACAGCACTGTTCTCCTTCACTATATTACTAGTACTTGTTACTGCAGCTTTTGGAATATTATTAAGGTTAATGTATGAAAAGTTCAAATCAAGAGATGGAAAATCGAAGGGCGGCTGATGATCATCGGATCAGTGAGCAATAAATATAGATCGAACAAGTCGTGTTATATTATGGTATGTGTAATTTTCTTTGCATAATATTTTTAACCAACGGCCATCTTTTTTAGTGACCCTAATTGAGCTATAACACTACTACACAAATGAATTTTCCCTATGGTATTTTTGCTTCCAGTTCTATTATAATTGACCGTAACAATATATCACCGACGGTCCAGACCGACAAATAATTTTTACCACCGGTTCATGGCTTCAACCGGCGTTGAAAATTATCCTCATATATAAAATAAAAATCATACCCACATGACGACACCCGTTCACACTCTCTTTAACCTCAAAGCTGCCACCCCTCTCTCTCTCTCTCTTCTCTCTCAAACACACACAACCGCTCCCTCTTCCTCACCTCGGCCTGACCCTCCCAGGATAGGACGACGCAGCAGTTGTGGGCCGCCTCTCTTAGTATGGCGGTGGCAGCCCGCTCCTCCATCTCCTAGTGTAGCAATGACAAGCCTCTCCCTCTTTTGGTGCAACAACGACGGCCCGCAACTCTCTCTCTCTCTCTCTCTCTCTCTCTCTCTCTCTCTCTCTCTTTCAGTCAGATCTAGCATGGTCCGGAGCGATGGCGGCACCCTTCCCTTCCTATCCCAGCATGGAGGCGGCAGCCCTCCCCCCTCTTCTAATGCGACAACGGTGGCCCACCACCCCTATCTCTTGTTCGTGTTCGTGGCCAGATCTGGTATGGTCAGGAGCATCGGCTTCCCACTTTCATGAGTGAGGATGGCGCGGACGAGGACAACGAGGCACGCGTGGCTATTTATTTCTATTTTTTCACTTTTCACCGCCGATGCCTCAATGTCTCCTGGAAATTAAAGATCATTGCAACAAATAAACAAACAAAAATTCAACCTAAATTGAAGTTTTATGTATTTTTGTGAATGTATAATTAACCTACATATACATTGTT